TATCTTGCCCAATTAATTCCTTAGCTCTTCTTTGTTTCTTAGTAACTATTCAATCATTTCTTTGTTGAGAATTAGAAGTTAAATAAGCAAACATTATACTATTTTTAATCATTCTATTAAATGTTTTCTTCATATTTGTAAATAAAATTTCTGCATCTGATCTTCCCCTTTAAATTATAATAATTTAGAGAATTTCATGAAAGAGCTTTGTAATGACTGATTTTTAAATAGGTGTCCACATGAAAATCCTAGAAGTAATAGCATTTTAATAGGATCAAAAGTTATCTGTGCTTAAAAAAACTAGTCAACCACAAACAAATACCTACAAACTATATTTCAGGTTAATGTAATTTTGTTTTTCAATATTATTCCTTGTTTTCTCTGGCTTACTATTTATATACTTGTTTTTAATGCCACAAAATAATATTAAATATAAATATAATTTCTCAATGTCTTTCATAGACTCCAAACTTGTGGAATTTGATCTTCAGAAATAAATTCTAAATACATCTGTCCTGGCTATTCTTGATTGGCAACTTGACTACATGTAGATTTAAATGAATTTTGAAGATCCACTTTTAATCTGGACTTTTGAGATCTCAGGTGGAAAAATAAGATTTTAATCTAGATCATTTGACCTGGGAAAAGATACCCTTTAATGTAGATATTGAGTCAGGAAGACATACGTTTAATACAGATCTTTTGATCTAAGAAAACTCAATTCTAATCTAAGGGCACAATCTGTTGGATGCCCTTGTAAGAATATAGATGAATGAAACACTTGCTCTCTGCCTGTTTGCTTTTTCATTCATTTCTTCACTGGCATTAGAGCCTACTTCTACAGGGTTGTAGCATAAAGTGAAGATTAGGACATCTAGCCTCAGTGACAGGCATTACTGAATTGTTGGAATTACATACAAAGCCATCTATTTTTCCATTGGCTAGACTGCTCCCTATAACTCATTCTAATTAGTATGATATGTATATATCACATTCTAATAAATCTGTGATACATATGTGATATATAGATATAGTGATATATCACAAATTCTATGAGTTTTGTTACTCTAGAAACCACTGACTGGAACAGCACCTAAACATTTGGATCATAATTGCCTATCACTTTTATCCTCCCCCCAAAATTACAGATATCACCCTCAGTTTATTAGCATAGTTAATTTTAAACAGAATACTAATGTAAAAAATGTGTGCTTCAAATAAAATAATATATTATCTCCACTCAGAATTACCCAAACTTCTCTCCATCCTGAACTCAGAGTTGATTCCAACTCTTTCTCTGCAAAGTAAAAAAAAAAAAAAAAAAAAAGTACTTATAACAGTTAATATGAATATTCATTTGACACTTTTGAATGATAACCAAAATAGCCAAAATATATTGTGGAAAAGTATATAAACTATTTGACATTTGTTTTTTATTTTGATTTAAGTTCTTTAATTTTTAAAAGATGTAATTGCTGTATATATTTGAGCTATGTGATTAGAATTGAAATGTGCCTATATTTACATACACAAACATACACACACATACACACACACACAGACACACACACAATGGTTGCTAATATCTACAGCTGTTACAAAGGAAGTTTCTGACTCTCAAGTGTCAGAGAAGGGGTCAAGGTCCTCCCTCTGTGTGGTCTTATCCTCAGCACTAGCTCTGTATTTACATATCATTTTCTTCTAACATTGAGCTGACCTCCTCTGTGTTCACTGAATTCTGTACTTGATTTATATTGTTCACTCCCCCTTTTTACCAGTTGAACAGTAGTTTGCAACCTTCCTAATGCTGAGACTCTTTAATACAGCATCTTGTGTTATGTTGACCCTAAACAAAATACTTCACTGAGGCTTCAAAACTATAATTTCATTATTTTTATGGATCATAATATAAATATCTGATATATAGAATTTCTGATATGTGACCCGTGTGAAACAGTTGTATAACCTCCAAAGAAGTCATGATCCATTGGTTAAGAATGGCTATTTTAGTGTCAATGTTCAATATTGTAATCATATCTCCCTAATTACCTGGGTTAAAAAAAACAACTTTCTAAAAATTTAAATTTCATATCAGTTAACATGGATACTCAGGGATAAATTTCACCAAAGGAAAGTAGATGAACATCCTGAATAGTTCTGTTTTAATCAAAGACTCTTTTTTTAAAATCAAGTTAATTATTCATACATTTCCTTTAGACATTTTATTAAATTCATAATCTTTATTATAGCACAACAAGTTTACTGTAATATTAAGAGGATACAAGGGCATGTATAAGTGTGAGTCTCCAGTAAGTCTATCTAGTTAGCCAGGCTTTTGCTAACTTCCCATTTAGAAAATGATTTCATAACTTTCTACTCTGAATATCACATCTTCCTCTTTATTCTAAAGACAAAACTTATTTAGAAAATGAAAAATTTCACACATTTCCATGTTTATTCACACCATTTATTCTTTTGCTACCAGAGAAATCTTGTTGAAGTGCTTATCCCACAAGAGTTCAACAAAGGGAATGAAATTTCTCTCAGCCTCCTCTTCCAATTCTACTGCCTATGTCCTATTCAAAGCAAAAGCATCTGAGCAAATGCGAACATGCCCCTATATGAAAGACCCTCACTCAATGAGTGTCCTTCTCCAGGGAGACCCGCACCCAAGGAGGACCGAGACCAAGGTTCGGATGCAAACAGCAAAGAGGTTTATTCAATACACACGGGTACCCGGGAGTCAGAATCTCCAAAGAGGTCTGCTCCCCGAGTGTCTAGGGGCATGAAGTTTTATAGGGTTTGGTTCGGGAAGCTGATTACAGAAGTGAGAAGCATAGTTACAGGGTTCTGATTGGATATTTTAAATGAGGCTATGGTTGAACGTAGGGCAAAAGGCGGGTTCCAGGAACGGGGGACTTGGGGGGTCTCTAACCGCCTTCCTGGAATGCCTGGAGCTTATCTGGTACTTTCCATTCCTGGCTTGGGGTCGAGTGTTAACCATAGATATCTTGTCTTTATCCGTCTCAGGGTCCAGTACTTTTCCAGCCTTTCAAAATGTTGTTACTGCTGTTTTAGCTAAACTGGGGGTCTTTCATTCCCCCATTTTCTTTTAACTCTCGAATGGAATCTTTCATTCGATGGATGGTTTATTCTATCTCGGCCTGCCTGAGCTAATGATATTGCTGGGTAAGGATCATGGCCTGTACTATTGACAACCTGTCTTTTATAAATTGGACCAATCGATTTAAGATGCATGGCCCGAAAAGAAGGATTAAGAGAATAATAATCATGGGTCCCAACAGAGAGGATATTAAGGTGGTAAACCATGGGGAGGGGACCCATTAAACCACTTTTCATACCAGCTCTGATCAGACTCAAAAATATGTTGGCGTTGTTTAAGGCACTCTCTGAGTTTTGCCATGTTATCTCTGACAAGGCCTGTGTGGTCAGCATAGAAGCAGCATTCTTCTTTAAGGGCTGCACAAAGTCCTCCCTCCTGCAGGAAGAGGATGTCTAATCCTCTTCTGTTCTGCAAGACTACCTCAGATAATGAAGTCAGGGACTTTTCTAGAGCACTGACTGATTCTTCTAAAGCTTACAAGTCAGTGTGCATGGCCTGTTGTAGTTGTCTAAACTGGTAAGTCTCCGCTAAGGCGGTAGCTCCGGTCCCGACACCTGCTGCAATGCCTCCCACCGTCAGACCCCCCAATAATAAGGCCAAGGTGAGAGACACAGGCTCTCTAGGATATCTGGCTAGACCTTCATAGTGAAGGTATACATATTCAGGGTCATGATAAATAACTTTAGGCCAGAGTTCGATAAGCAAACAAAAATCAGAGGATTGGTTAAGTACCTGGGAGGACACACAGGGGGTGAGGCCAGGACTACATGCCCAGTGGGTCCCGTTTGGTCCTCTCAAATAGTAGTCTCCTGTGTAGACCTGGAGGGTTGAATTGCATAGGCCTTGGTGGCTGGGGGGAACTTTTCCCAGCAAAGCACCTTTCCTGACACTTCAGAAAGGGTTAACTTATGTGAATCCGCCTGTGTGCAGACTGGAGGGGCCGAGGTGGCGTTGGTAAGGATTCCACTGACCGCATATCCCTCATAATATGGTGGGGCCGAATTTAGACACAGCCAGCACTCTTGGGTCCTAACGGGATCAGTGAGGTTAAGAGTTTGATAGGCTCCCCCAATGATGTCGAGTAACCGATCTCCTGTCCCAGGATGATAAGGGGTCATTAAGGGGGGGACCTGGGTAGTAGTAAGGGTCCGGTTTGCCTCAGGCGGGGGAGAAGGGTTTTCAGGTGGGGCGGCAGGCTGTGGCTTGCCTTGAGGCGATTGTTGATCCGGCAACACAGGATTGGGTCCTATGGCTTGGGCAGGAGAACTTTCTACCCATTGGAGGAGAGAGAATATGATGCCATCATCATATCCTTCTTTGTATAGTCTCAGACCCCAGGACTTCGGCCTAGTCCAGTCTTCCTGTCTGCCCTTTGGGGTAAAGGAAATGTTAAGAGTGGGGTAACGGGGATTCCCGCCATTGCAGTTGTAATAGAAATCCCCCGTCCAATCTGCAGCCCCGTCATACTTTAGCAGGGTGATCTTAATATGAGGGTCAAGTGAGGGGAGTGTCCACCATGTGTGTCCAGTAGTCTCGCAACCCCATGAGGCACAATAAAATGCTTCTGGTCCTCCACATCCTCTCTTCCTGACAGCGGGGCAGGCGTAGAACCTGGCCCGTAAGGTTTTTCCCCATAACCCACATCCGAAGAATTTTTCTCCGGACACTAGAATATCAGGGTACCAGGTCCTCAGTGGCGCTACCATCATGTTGGAGTAGAGGTTCTGCCCATAGCTATCCTGGAGTTCCCAGGTAAGCTTCTTGGGCTGGTGTACAGAGCCATGTGTAAGGCCATGTGGGACACAGGGGCGGGAAAGAATCAGAGCCCCACATAACAAGAGGAATTTCCAACATGGGGAAGAAGGGAAGACTAAAACTAAGAGCGGACAAGTCTTATCTTTAGGGGGTTTTGAGTATGGTGAGCTTTCCATGTTGCGATCGTCTCTGGCTGGGCTTCTGGGCTGGAATAGGCTGGCTTAACGTGGGAGGTGTGGATCAAGTTGGTGATGCCGTCTACCTTTAGCGCCGTTGGGGTGGTCAAGAGCACAATGTATGGTCCCTTCCAGCGAGGTTCTAGATTTTTAGTCTGATGTCGCCAGATCCACACGGTATCTCCCACCTGGAACTGATGTGGCACTATCGGGCGGTCAAGTTGTTCTTGATAGGCCGCAGCTAGGGGTCGCCAGACTTCTTTCTGGACAATCTGCAGAGCCTGCAAATGAGCTTGGAGAGAAGGATTATGAACAAGAGAGGGCGTGAAAGGGTCAAGGAGACTGGTCATCGACGGAGGGGCCCTGTACAGGATCTCAAAGGGGGTAAGCCCAAAGCGGCCCGGAGTGTTCCGGGCTCGATATAAGGCCATAGGAAGGAGGAGTACCCAGTCTCTAGAGCCAGTTGCCAACGTTAATTTAGTCAAAGTCTCCTTAATTGTTCTATTCATTCTCTCTACCTGACCTGAACTTCTGGGGTTGTATACACAATGTAGTTTCCAATCAATACCCAGTAGTTGGGCCACCATCTGACTTACCTGGGAGACGAAAGCTGGCCCATTGTCCGAGCCCAGAATGTGAGGAATCCCGTATCGGGGAAAGATTTCTTCTAGCAACGTTTTGGCCACGACCTTTGCAGCTTCATGTTTGGTGGGGTAGGCCTCTACCCACCCTGAAAAAGTATCTACGAATACCAGTAAGTAGCGGTATCCATATAACCCAGGCCCTACCTCGGTGAAGTCAATCTCCCAGTGGGAGCTGGGCCTTTTTCCTCGGGCACGGACCCCGGGGGCTAGCTTATTATGGCCCACATTAACTTTGGCGCAGGCCACACACTCTTCTGAGACTTGTTGAAGGATTTTATCTTTGTATAATAAGTGTTGAAGATTTTCTTCTTTCTCCAGCAGAGTTTTTATTTTCTTGGGGCTGAGATGGGTCAGTTGGTAAAGGTGCTGTAGCAAGATTCTAGTCAGTTAAGAAGGCCAGATGGGTTTATCGTGACGAAGCCAGAGTCCCGAGAGGGGGTTGTAGATGGCCCCCATTTTCTTTATCTGCTGTAAATCTGTTTCACTATATGTGAAAGGTGGGGACCCCCAGTTTACTCTTGTTACTGGTTCCACGGGCAGAAGGATGGAGTCAGTTATTTTAGCTTCTTTTAGAGCTACCTCTTTAGCCACCTGGTCCACCAGGCGGTTTCCACGGGCTTCTATGTTGTCTCCTTTTTGATGGCCCGGGGTGTGGATGATGCTCAGCTTGGAGGGCAGGAACAAGGCTTGCAGAAGAGCAAGGATCTCAGTCTTGTTTTCAATTTCTTTCCCTTCCGATGTCAGCAATCCTCTCCTTCGATAGATCTCTCCATGGATGTGTGCGGTGGCAAATGCATAACGGCTATCTGTATAAACATTGAGTTTCTTGCCCTCTGCCATCTGGAGTGCCTGGGTCAGGGCGATGAGCTCTGCCCACTGTGCCGAAGTTCCCAGCGGTAGCGACTCTGCCCAGACTGTCTCTGTTGAAGTAGTCACAGCTGCTCCCGCCATCTGCTGTCCATCGTGTAGGAAGCTGCTTCCATCGGTAAACCAGGTGAAATCAGTGTCTGGGATTGGCTGATCCGACAGGTCCAGGTGGGTGCCATGGACTTCTGCCAGGATCTGGAGACAGTCATGAGGGTCTGGCCCCTCTGGGAGGGGAAGTAGGGTGGCTGGACTGAGTGACACTGGGGTACCAAAGCTGACGTGTTCAGTGTCTAATAACAGAGTCTGATATTGGGTCATCCGGGCATTAGAGAGCCATCGATCCGGCGGCTGTCTAATCAGTGTTTCTACCGCATGGGGGGCGAGCACCATTATCGGCTGGCCCAGTGTCAGCTTAGTCGAGTCTCTGACTAACGTGGCGATGGCAGCAACCATCCGGAGACAAGGGGGCCACCCTGCTGCCATGGGGTCTACTTTCTTTGATAGGTAGGCGATTGGCCGCCTCCATGGTCCCAGTTTTTGAGTTAAGACCCCTTTGGCGAATCCCTGTCTCTCATCAATGAACAGGTCAAAGGGCTTAGTCAGGTCGGGGAGCCCTAGAGCTGGAGAGCTGAGGAGAGCCTTTTTTGATGGCCAGGAAGGCTTCCTGCTGTTCTTGCCCCCACTGGAACAGGGACCCTTGCTTACAGGGGGGCAGCCATTTCTGCGAATCCTGGGATCCACAGGCGGCAAAACCCTGCAGTGCCTAGAAACTCTCTCAGCTGTCTTGGAGTTTTGGGAGGCGGGATGCCTAGGATGACTTGTTTACGGGCTTCAGTCAGCCATCGCTGCCCATCCCGGATCTGGTACCCCAGGTAGGTTACCTGCTGTTGGCAAAGCTGTGCCTTCTTCGCTGAGGCTCGATAGCCTAGTGTTCCCAGAGTATCTAGGAGGGCTTCAGTCCCAGATTTACATTCCTCTTGCGTCTCAGCCGCCAAGAGGAGGTCATCTACATATTGAAGCAGAATCAGGGCGGGGTGTTGTGTCCTGAAATCTCTCAGATCATGGTGTAAGGCCTCATCGAAGAGGGTGGGACTGTTCTTGAACCCTTGTGGGAGTCTGGTCCATGTTAACTGCCCCGATATGCCTAATTCAGGATCTCTCCATTCGAATGCAAAGAGGGGCTGGCTCTGGGGATGAAGGCGTAGGCAAAAGAAGGCATCTTTCAAGTCTAACACCGTATACCAACTGTGGCTCGGGGGAAGACCAGTCAACAGGTTATAAGGGTTGGGGACCGTTGGGTGGATGTCTTCTACCCGCTTGTTGACTTCCCTCAAGTCTTGCACTGGTCGGTAGTCTCCCGTTCCAGGTTTTCTCACCGGGAGGAGTGGGGTGTTCCATGGAGACCGGCAAGGGGTCAGGATACCCTGATCTAAGAGCCGCCGTATGTGAGGTCTAATTCCCTCCTGGGCTTCCTGAGACATTGGGTATTGTCTGATAGATACCAAGGTGGCGGTAGCTTTCAAATGCACGAGTATGGGTGGCTGGTGAATTGCCATTCCCATTCCTCCAGTCTCTGCCCAAGCCTGGGGAAATTTCTCAAGCCAGGGGGTGATCTCTTGAGCCTGAGGTACTTGATATTCATGGAGTCGGAATTCTTCTTCTAAGCTTAGGGTTAAAATCTGTAGCTGCTGTCCTTGGGGGCCAGTGACACGGGCACTCCCGCCCTCAAAATGAATTTGGGCCTTTAATTTTGTCAGCAGATCTCATCCCAATAAGGGATAGGGACAATCGGGGACGTGTAGGAAAGAGTGGGTTACTTTACCAGTTGCTAGCTGTACATGCCGGTCCGTTGTCCACCGGTATCTTTTCCCTCTGGTTGCCCCTTGTACCCATGCCAACTTATTGGTCAAAGGACCCGGTTTGGAGGTGAGGACGGAGTGTTGGGCCCCCGTGTCGACCAGGAAGGTAACCGGTTGTCACCCCACATCAAGGGTTATCCTGGGTTGGGGGGGGCTCCTGACCTTGACTCCCCTAATCTTCTAGATTTAACAGGGTGTTCTGAGGCCTGGGCCGGCGCGGCCCCCTTGGTCTGTTAGGGCAATCTTTGATCCAGTGGCCCTTTTCTTTGCAGTACGCACATTGATCATGGTCCACAGGGGGGCGCCTGCGTTCCTTGTCTCCCAGCCCTTGTCTACTCTGCCGCTGTCCTGTCACTATGGTGGCCAACAACTTGCTAAATTCTCTATTTCGCTTCTTATCTCTCTGTGTCTCTCTCTCTTCTGCTTCCTTTCTTAGCCTCTCTTCTTTCTCCTCTGGTGTCTCTCTCTTATTAAATACTTTCTCAGCTTCTTTTAATATATCCTGAATACTACTCTCTCTCAAGTTGTCTAGCCTCTCTAGCTTTCTTCTGATATCTGGGGCCGATTGCCAAATGAATGACATTATCAGGTTAGTAGCCTGAGTCGGGTCTTCAGGATCATATGGGGTGTAGACCCGATAGGCCTCTTTCAGCCTTTCCAAGAATGTGGAAGGAGGTTCTTGAGGGCCCTGTATCACTGACTTAACCTGAGCCAAATTAGTCGGGGGTCTACCTGCCCCAAGGAGACCCGTTATAAGCAACTGGCAGTAGAGACGCAGGTGGTTCCTACCGTCCTCTGTAGCAAAATTCCACTCAGGCCGTTCTAGGGGGAAGGCATCATCAATATCGCTGAGCAACTGCGAGGGTCTCCCGTCATCACCCGGGACGTGCTTGTGGGCCTCCAAGATGACTCTCTGCCTCTCTTCTGTGGTGAGGAGGACCTGCAAGAGCTGTTGGCAATCATCCCAGGTGGACTGATGTGTCACTAAAACAGACTCAATGAGGCTGGTAAGTCTAGAGGGATCTTTAGAGAAAGAGGGATTGTTATTTTTCCAGTTATAGAGATATGAAGCGGAGAACGGCCAATAATGGAGCCTTCCATCATTGCCCGTTCTCAAAGGCAGCGCTTGGGAGGATCCCGAGGGGCCATCTCTCCTGCCCCTCAGGCGACCCGCTATGGGACGGTTCGGGGTCCTCCTCTGGTCCCGGCTGGGGGGCCGCTGGCCGGCTCCCAGTAAGGGGGTGGTTCTTCTGTCAGGAGGTCTATGAGAGGCTCATTGTCTGGGGGAAGGACCCTGGGAGGGGCTGGGGTCTTTTTATCCCTCGTACAGACAAGTGCTGGATATAGAGAAACTGGGGGGGCAGAGGGGGCGATAGCTGGAACGGAAAGAAAAGGCTTGATCCACGGTGGTGGCTCCCGGACCAGGGCTTCCCAGGTGACAATGTAAGGAACCTGGTCGGGGTGTCCATGTGGACGGGGTCCATCACTCTGGCTTTGACCTGTAGGATGACAGATAAGTTAAAGGTTCCGTCCCGCGGCCACCCTACTCCGAAGGGTGGCCATTTGGAGGCGCAGAATGTCTGCCATTTGCCCTTTCGGACTTTCACGGAGTTGTTGTGGGCTGTCTCTCGGACCTCCGTCCAATGCTGTAAAGTGAGACTTAAGGGGGTGGTTACAGACTGACCCATGATCTTTGTTTCAAACGCTGAGATGGTCAGCAAACAGACAATGAACAAGAGACTGACACAGACAAGGAGACAACGTGCCACGCGACTCCAGCGCCAAACTGAAAACAAAACCTCAGAGGGGAGTCTTGAAGAGGGTCCGGTTCCCTCTACTCCCAGTTCCACGTATCCCTCTGACAGGGGCGCAGCCCCAAAAAATCCAATTCGGGCCGTGGTTCAGACTGGCGGACCCGCTCAAGAGTGGGTCCTTATAAACTCCCCTGGAACGTCTCCCGGGGGGTGCCGAGAAGGGATCTGAGCTCATCAGCTCTCCCTAAGTCCACTCGACTTACTGATCGACTCAGCTGAATCGCCCAGAACAGAGACACTTGACACAGATGGGACAGAAAGACGAGAACGTGTTGGCCAACTTACCTCCCGAATTGGGTCGGTGGTCCCCGGGCGGGGGTCTCTGATCTCGCTGGGGCCTCCAAATGAAAGACCCTCACTCAATGAGTGTCCTTCTCCAGGGAGACCCGTACCCAAGGAGGACCAAGACCAAGGTTCGGATGCAAACAGCAAAGAGGTTTATTCAGTACACACGGGTACCCGGGAGTCAGAATCTCCGAAGAGGTCTGCTCCCCGAGTGTCTAGGGGCATGAAGTTTTATAGGGTTTGGAAGCGGGAAGCTAATTACAGAAGCGAGAAGCATAGTTACAGGGTTCTGATTGGATATTTTAAATGAGACTATGGTTGAAAGTAGGGCAAAAGGCGGGTTCCAGGAACACAGGGCCAAAAGGCGGGTTCCAGGAACGGGGGACTTGGGGGGTCTCTAACCGCCTTCCTGGAATGCCTGGAGCTTATCTGGTACTTTCCATTCCTGGCTTGGGGTCGAGTGTTAACCATAGATATCTTGTCTTTATCCATCTCAGGGTCCAGTACTTTTCCAGCCTTGCAAAATGTTGTTACTGCTGTTTTAGCTAAGCTGGGGGTCTTTCACTATACATGTTACATGTTCACATTTCTCTCCTGAACTTGCTGTAGCTGGGAATTTCTCCTAACAGTAATGTATATCAATACAACTGTTGTCTAGCTTTCCAACTTACCACATAGAAAATTGGACAAAGGACATAGCATTGAAAGTTTGTTTAAGGAGGAACAAAAACACAACCTATCCATTGGGGAAGGTCTGAATAGCTTTGGGGCACATGCCTGGGATGTTGTCAGGTGTAGATGCAGCCTACTGTTCAGAACGTCTGGGAAGGCTAAATGTTATCAGCTGAGGTAGTTTTTTTTAGAAAAATCTGATGCAACTTCATTTCTTTACATGAATCAAATATTCTCAACTCCAGGTCCACAAGTGCAACACTTCCATTACATGACTTCTTCATTTTGATTTTAAGGAAGCATTAAACAATGTTCAAAATAACCTATAGTATTTTACTCAAAATTTGATTCTTCATTTTTTTCCTCTCAGTAAATAACCATTCCAATTTCCACTCATCCAGGCCTATGGTACATGCCTGGCTTATTTCTATATTTCATTTGAAACTCCAAAAATTAAAATAAAGAAAATATATAGCCTAACCTAATGAATGTGTCATCCCAATACATCTTCAATTAATTTTAAAATTTTTATTTATTTATATTTTAGTATATGAGTATTTTTTCTTTGTACGTTCATTTAGACTCTGTGTTTGCCTAGTGCCCGTGGACACCAGAAGTTACCACCGAACTGGAAATAAGGAGGAACCAGGCATAATGTAGGAGCTCAGATAGGAAACCCCGGTTATCAGCAATAGTATCAAGTGGTCTTTGTGCCCTCTCTTAACCTTAAGCAGGCTGAATCAGACCTTGTTTACCACAATGGATCTTGCTACAGTAGGACCTAGGTGGAGTTATCTGCCCTGGTTGCACATATAACTTCCATAGGAACTTAGACTGCCTGCTGTGCTTGACTTGTGTCATAATCCAGCTGAAACAAAGGATGGGTTCCATAGGCTTCCCCTATATACAAAATGCTGAATATTAAACTTTGAGCATTGAACAGAGAACTTTGTCTTGGCTTCATGCTTCTTTCACTTCTCTGTCACTTTTTCATTTCCAGCTCTCCTTTCAGGTGAATCCTTGGTTACTGGTGGCTACAGGTGGTGCCTGAATGAGGAACCTGAAAAACGGGCATGGGGGGGGGGGCAACTGAGAAACACTGCTGTAGATGGAGCTCAACAGAAAAAGGAAGAAGAGTATCCTGCATGGTAAGCAATGAAGAGCATTGATGCTAGCACTAGTTATCTTTTAGAAGCTGTGTTTCAGGTGCATTAAGCAGATACAGCTTCGCTGAATAGGTGTTGACCCAAAGCTGACTTCACCTAGGGGGTGACAGTGAAATTTCTGAGTTGTGGAATCATAGCTAGGTCTTCCTCAGCAGCCTAAGAGCTGCCTCAGGCAAGGGGAGCAGGGTTAGGAGGAATTGGGGAAGTAAAGAAAGCAAGACGCTGAGGTGTAACTATTATTAGCTGCTGTTGCACCTCCTAAAGACGGAGTTGAACAGTTATGAGAAAGAGAAAGGGTTTCAGAAAAGCAGTTGTCCCCTGTTCAGGACATGTCAGCAAAATGGATATAAGCTATTTCAGAGATCTCCTAGGAACAGGAGAAAATCAGGAGATATTCTGCTTTCTCTCTGGCTCCTACTGAAATCCTTTGTTCTGTCTATTGTCTGTCTTTGGTGCACAAATTTGTCCATGTCTACCAAAACTGGCTATTTTATGTTAAGTGTGTGTTTTTGTTTCTTTCTTTGAATGACTGTTGTTCTACGTTTCATATGCAAAAGAAATAAATGGTTAAAACTTCATCTGCTAGCTATCCACCCCTTGGTTTAGTTTAATTTGTTTTTTTTTTTTTTTTTTTTTTTAAGTCTCAATTGGTCTTTGGAGCCCTGCACCTGTATCTAGGAGTCAAGCACAGCAGGAGAAGCCTTTTCAAGAGCTGGTTGTCTGTATAAGCTGCTTTTAAAGGGAACAGCAGGTCTTTTTGTTTCTATAAGGAAGCTGATGGCTGTTTTTCCTAGAAAAATCTCTGTGACAGTGTTTATTGGGTTCAACAAGTGACAAGGTACTTTTCTCTTGAAATTACAGCTAGAAAAAGTAGGAAAATTTTGTTTAGTCTAAATATATAAGATGTGTAGCCACTTCATTTTTGTTTCTGACTGGTTTTAAAAGTATACATATGTTCTGCATCAATTGACTATAGATTATTGGCTTATAAGTTATTGAGTATGATTAAAAATTTGTTACTTTGATAGCAGAAATTTGGCTTAAATTTAAGCCAAAAATTTGGCTTAAAACTGGTAAGTCATTCAAACAACAACATGTGGTATGAGCCAACCTGGGAAAACAGGTCTCCAAAGATCCTAGAAACCAGATTATAAAAGAAAAAAATTAGGGCAGTGTCTTTTGGAGGTTGCATGGTTGTACATTCGTGTGTAGGAATTGAAAGCCAAAAACTTTGTAGCATGGGAGTGATGCGCTTGGTGATGATTTTGGAGAGACTAGATTGAGTTTTGCTTTTCAAAGCTGTGGTTGCTCTGGTGTTGCAAGGGAAACTTAGAGGTATGGTTGAATTGCCAGTATTCCATAGGCTGCAGTTTGCAGTTCAATCGCAGGCATGGAATTTTTGACTTATCCATGTTTGTAGTTGAGAAAAGGATCTAGCAGCTGGAGATAATTGCAAGACTAATAAAGGAGTCAAATACAGCTGTAGCACAGTACAGGCATGCTTTTCCTTTTACACAAGCTGTATTGGATGTTTTAAATGTGGAGGTTTGGGTCATTTTAGAAATGATTGTCCCAGGAACAAAGACACTAGCAGACTATCCTTGGGTCAGATTAAGAACATTTACATTTGAATTAATGCAAAGCTCAGAGTGGGCTCAGCAGAAGCTTGTGTGGCATACCTTTTGTCTTGGTCATCCTGATCAGCCCCTAGAAATGTGTTTTCTGGACTTTGTTTACTGCCTTGCTTGTTCCTTCAGGAGGAGGGATCACCCTCAGTATCAAAGGCATTCACAACAAGCAGCTTATAGGGCAGGAGTTATAGGTAATGATTATGCAGGAGAAATTAGAATCATGGCATTATAACTGTGCTTGGTAGCAAAAGAATTGCTCAAATAATAAGAGAGGAAAAGATGGCTTTGGTTCCTCTGATGTGTACTGGGTCCAAGCTATTACTAATAAGAGATCTAACCTTAAATTACTAATTGTAGAAAAAAGGTTTTGAAGAATTAATTGATACCTGAGGCTGATGTAACAATTATTAGAGGACAAGATTGGCCTTCAACCTGGCCTTTATCTAATACTCTCACTCAGATACAAGGATTGGCTATTCCATTAATCCAAAGCAAATTTGAAACTTAAAATTTATGAAAGGTTAATGAGACTAGGAACTTATGGGATCATGACATTTTCATTATATGGATATTTTATTAGTTGATCCCTCTGAAGAAGTTTCATTGCAACCCTTTGCTCTCATACAACAAGCTTTAAAATTTGGAGGAGTGCTTGTTCCTCCAGAGAAGATTCAAAGGCAATATCTTTTTCAATATTTGAGACCTCAGTTATAACCTAAGCAGATTGTGGCACAGAAAATTTCAATAAGTAAAGGTAGTTGAGGCTGGAGAGATGGCTCAGTGGTTAAGAGCACTGACTGCTCTTCCAGAGGTCCTGTTCCCAGCAACCACATGGTGGCTCACAACCATGTGTAATGGGATCTAGTGCCCTCTTTTGGCTTGCAGGTGTACATGCAAAATAATAAAAGAAAAAAAAAGATAGTTTACTTTTAATGATTTTTCAAAAATTGTTAGGAGATATTAATTGGCTAAGAACTCTCCTTAAGCTTACTTACTACAGAATTTGAACCTCTGTTTGATATTCTCAAGGGGAATGGAAATCCTAATTCCCCTGAACAATTAACTGATGAGGGACAAATAGCTTTGCAGAAAGTAGAGGAAGCTTTTAACCAACAACAGA